AGAAGTAAATCTTTGCAGGACCTGAAGCTTAGTCCCTTCAGAACGAGTATTTGAAGATTCAGTCCAACAGTTATTGGTCACTTCCTATGGAATAATATTTTTCATACTTCTACAGGAGAAGTCTACTAGAAAACTATTTCTAAGTGTTCTATTTAGGGAATTGCATGCGGTAAAAAATTTACTCCATTCGGGTAAACTTTATCCAGCAGGAAATGTAAGGAAACAAAGTGCTTTGATTGGTTAATGCAGGTAAAATTTACCCTCATCTGGTAAACATTTTTTAGTGCATATTGTTTTTGGTAAGGGCACAATGTTTCTGACACATGTAATCCCTTTATCTTGATCTTACACCAAATTCTCATAACTAATTTACAAGAAAATGTAAGAAGCTACAGGGAAGAATTGACAATCCCATCTTGGGAGTTAAAGGGTGAAGAACACTTTTTATTTATTATTTTTTTTCTCAGTATTTATTACTGTGACAGTCTTCCTTTGACCTTGTATATTTATAATTATTATTTTATCACTGAGATTTATTAAACCATACAAAATTTCATAGTCATTATATATTCCTTCCTCTGTGTTAAAAATACATTTAAATTGTTCAGAGGAACTCTATTTTTGGTCTCCCTGGGAAGTGAAAGGGTTAAATTTTGAGTAGTGACTGATATACAAGGAAGCGTTTCCTTTGTTCTTGGAAACACCTCGAAAAAACGTGACTGTGAAAAAGTGATGGGGAAGTGTACTGGAGGGATTTATTGAAGAATACAAAACCAAGAAATTAGGTATCAGGAATTTCAGAATGTTTGATCCTAACAGTATGCAGGACGCTTGTCGTGCATGAACTTCATAATGGGCCTTGCTCACTATAGAGTCTCTGTGGCTCAGTGGTAGAGCATCAGAGCATGGAATCCAAAGGTCTGGAGTTCAATTCCTTATGGGGAATTAGAATTTGTTCTTTGTTCCATACTTGTGACAAGATAAAAAACGTCTTTCTCTGTTTGACTTCTTTTTGTTTAATATTCTATTTTGCCATGTAAGGTTTGGGATACAGCTGGCCAGGAACGTTACCGTGCGATTACAAGTGCCTATTACCGCGGAGCTGTTGGTGCTGTATTGGTCTATGATTTATCAAAACAGAAAACTTTTGAGAATGTGGCACGATGGCTTTTGGAAGTACGTGAACATGCAGAGTCCTCCATTGTCACCATGCTTGTTGGAAACAAATGTGATTTGAAACACCTGCGAGCAGTTCTTGCAGAAGAGGCCAAGAAATATGCAAATGACGCAGGACTGTCATTCATTGAGGCATCAGCTTTGGATGCTACAAATGTCGAAGAAGCCTTTACACAAACAATTACAAAAGTTCATGAAGTGCAATTGGCAAAAATAAGAAAAGAACTTGACATGCCAGGACAGAACTCTGGAACTTCAGAAGGAAAAGGAAAGGTGGTCGAAGTAAATGAAGCCTCACAAGCAGGAGAAAGAAACTGTTGTGTTCTTTTCTGAGGATGTGGACACTTGTCACAAAATTCTGGGGAATTACTGAAATGTCTGGTTTTTTTTTTGTATCAAAGTTGGCAATTGATTTCAACATAAAGCAACAATTTAGATGATCATAATTATTATAAAGATTATAAATAGAAATTATTTTAATTGCAAATAATTCAACTTGTATTATATTTTCTAGGAGTAGATCCTAATATTTGGATATTTCTCGCATTGAAATCTTTATTTGGAAATTCTAATCTCAGATTATTGACAATTGGCTAAAAATGTAAACCCTTAGAGTGATCAGCATCTAATTTCTCCCCACAATATCAGCCCTGCATCGCACATTGAGGTCATGAGAATAAAGGAAATGGTCACCAATGAAAGAAGCTTTTGATCGGTAAACAAATTCTCCTTTTCAGCACCTTAGGAAATGTATAAAGAACAGTATGGAGAATATGTATACTGATATTAGGATGGAAAGAGTTAAGTGAAGATGCCCCTCTGAGTTTTTGGTTGGGTTTTATGCTTGATCATCTTGATCCAAACCATTTCAGATCAAAACAGCTAGAATAATATATCTTGTTTGGTTTAGAGCTGAAAAAACTAACTATATATCTGCAATAGGCCATTTTACAGTTGTGTGCTTAGTTGCCAAGCCTTTGATTTGGAGTGAGGCTGAAGGTGACCTTGTTGTGATAGAGACCAGTATCTAGTTAGCATGATAACAAAGTAATTTGCATTTGAAAAGCAGCAAGGTTTGTATCATAACAAGGTCACCCTTAGCCTCATTCCTGTTCAAAGGCTTGGCAACCAAGCTCACAACTGTAAAATGGACTATTCACAAAGTAGCCAGTACAAATGGTCTGAAAGCTAGAAGGTTTCTGTTGCCTACCACCAACAAACAACAACGGAAATACAGTTGGGAGGTAGAGTTTAGCAATGTGTACATTTTGTGGGTTGTGGATAAAATTTGTCTCGGATCTATTATGGTCTTGTCTTGCTTAAGGTTTTTACATTCTTATTGGTTAAAGACTGGGTCATATCTTCTTCAACCCTTTTACTCCCAAGATCTAATTAGTAATTCTCCTTACTATCTGCCATACAATTCTTGTGATGTTAGTTCAGGGAACTTGGTATTGGATCAACTAATAATCCCATAATTGATATTCTTCTCTATTCTCATCACCTACCTGCTTGATATTGTATTGATATTGTAAGGAGAAATTCTGTCTTGGTCACTTGTGGGAGTGAAAGGGTAAAATTACCCTTTACAGCATTGGTGACCAGGATTCAGAAGCACTAATTTTCAAACTGGATGATGTATGATTTCTCAATATTTCCATGAAGGAGACGGATGAAATCATGGACAAAATTTCTTCTCTAATAGTAACTTGAGTGATTGTATTGTCATACTGTCCTCAGGCCCAGTGAATAGAATCCCTCCAAATTCATCCTAAGGATTATTTGACCAGACAATTATTGTACCCTATTGGTGAAGAATTGTTTAATATGAAAAAAGAAGGAATAAGGAAGAAACTATTTTGGTATGTTAGACTAAATTTTGTTGTAATTACTTGGCTGAAGACAAAACTTACAACCAAATCTAATTGTAGTTCACTTTTTGTGGAATGTTGAATGTCTTGTAAGCCCCAGTTGCTACAATCACTCCTGAATTCTAGGCTCAGTCATTTCAAAGGGGGATACCCACCAGATAAATCTTCATCCAGTGGATAAGTGCTAACAGAATATACTGCGCAATCCAATGGAAAGAGATTTATCGAGTGGATAGTGTTATCCACCCTTAAAACAATGGGAGGCAGATCATTATTTTGTATGGGGTAAATTTCTAGAGGATGTTAGTAATCCTCTTTGTTTTTGTTCTCCATCCATTTTAATTATGATAGTAGTTCATCTCTAGTAAACAATTTTGAAAATAAAATATTACTGTCAAATCTGGACTTCTGTGAACATTTGACTAATCTAAAACTGATCATCACTTGGAGTGTATAAAATTATTATATTATTATTAATTGTTATAATCATAATTTATTTGCTGCTTCTTTTCAACCCAAGCACATTCCTGAAATTAGTTTCCTGTGTTCATGGTTTTCTTAGTTTGATTGGAAGAATTAAAGACAAGATACAAAAGAAAACAAGAAAAGAAAGAACAACAATGAAAAAAAAACAACAACAAAACTAACTTGATATTCAGTCCTAGACTATAATATGAGCAAATAAAAAATAGGTTTTCCACTTTATGTGATGAGAGTAGTTTATGAATGCACCTATTTATGTATTTAGTGGGAAACTCTTGCAATGGCAGAAATGGCAGAGATCAATGAAATTAGCTGTGAGGTGCAAAGAAGAAGGTGGAACTGGTTAGGACATGAACTCAGGAGAGAGGGTGTGAACAACTGTTTTATGGTATTAGGGTGGACACCAGAAGATGGAGGGGTAGGAGGGAGACCAAAGACCACTTGGGGAAGGACTGTCAAAAGAGAGTGGCAAGGCAGGGTGGAAGAGCTGGAATGTGGCCAAGATGGTGGTATGTGACAGGGGGGGTTGGGCAGACAATGTGATGGCCTTATGCACCTACTGGCATAATGAGTGATGATGTTGAATCTCCTGCAACCCATGAGGATTAAAACCCAGGCCCAGTTGTTTTAAGGCCAATTAGTGTAAACCCAGGATTAAATTTTAATCAAGGTTTCTATATTTTTCTGTTCAATAGCCGTTTCAGGATAAGTTTCCCGTTTTTAATCATCAAATTATGGTCCAAGCTCACATAGCGACCTCGAACAAAAACATTTTCATATCTTGCAGGGTCACGCCCACGATTCTGTCACGCAATGGAAATGAAGTAGGCAAGCAAGACGTGCAAAGTACTCTTGGAGCATTAATGACGCGAACGATGACGATGTTAACTAACGACGCCTTTCTCTTTCACTCGAAATCTAAACGGAAATAGAAGTTTAATAAAGTAATCTGGAGTGCTTTCAAACGTAAATAACAAGTAATAGAAAGGTACCACAAACTTTTAAGTATTGGCAAGAGTCTTTGATTTCAGGGAACCAAAGTGGCTAACTAGCGATGTGTGAAATGTAGACCGCTATCCCAAAGGAAAACCCTTGACATTTGAGATTTTCATGTCTTCAATATGACAGTAGTTTGTCAAAAATTTCCAGCACAACGGTATTTCACCTAGCAAATGCCACAGTATTAAGGCCTAACGTTTGCCCTTTAAAGGGAAAGCTTATGTGATCCGCCTTACATAAACAATCAACACAAACAAACTAATAACAACTTATTTATATTTTATTTTACAAGTAAGCTTCTAAATAACGAGTATTTCTACAAACTATCTAGACTGATAACTAAATTGTCATTTTAACTCTTCACACCCTAACATAAGCATTCATATTCTCTACACTGCTCTCTAGACATTTCCTCCGATCCTGAAGAGGAGAATTTGGTTAACAATCGGGAGCTTATTTGATTGGTGATCGTTTCCTCTATTCTCGTGACCTTACTGTTTGATTCAGGGGTGATATTGTAAGGAGAAATTAGATGCTGGTCACCCTTCAACGCCAAAAGGTTAACAGTTTGCATCATTGTATGCATTGTGCAAAATACATTACAGATGGAATAAAATGTTACGATTTGCACCATTAAAATGCATGTATTAAATTAAAACCTCAGCTACTGTCTTCATCACTCATTCTTACATAAAAATACATAGAAAACTGCAACTATATCCTACGAATACCACTTTTATTATTGTGCACTGGTATAGCACGCTTAAATTAAAATGAAGCATAAAACTACCCCTGCACAAAATAACATTAAGAACTTACCATTTTTACATAATTTAGCTAGTTAACAATACCCTAACGTGTTATTGTTTCCTATACTGTACACGGTAATCTTGACTTCGAGTCTAGGGATTATTACCGAGTGAATTTGACCATCAATTGAAAAATACCAAGCGGTTCTAACTACTGAATCCTGTGAATGAAACCATAGTGTATGACCATTCAAACGAGAGCTTTAAGGTCGCTTTTTTTACGTGGCAATGTTTATTACGCTTTAAGAGGTTTTTTCTAGCTTTCAAGACTTCTGATAATGAAAACCCTACGATGTGAACACAGTGGTCAAACGTCGGACATGTGCATGGGGAACAATTATTGACAGCCGCGCGCCAATTTCCCGCCCAAAACTTGATAAAAAAATTGACAGCCTGAAAACACGCCTCCTAGGTATTAAAACGTTCGCACATGCGCAGATGTTTGACCGCTGAATTTACTTTGTGAGCCTCTGAGTACCACTTTGGGTACCGTTCACTACACTGCAAACGTTGGTTTTAACATTTGAGTTTGTGGTTCAGAACCTAATGAATGACCATTCGAATGAAAGCTTCTGAGCAGTACATTCATGTACCACAATTTATGAAGCTGTCCAGGGTGATTCTAATTTTTTAGTT